GAAATATAATTTAAAAATAAAGGTTATTTACCAGGGAAATTTATGAGATTTACAATAAATTAAGATAATTATAAAATTTAAAATAAAGGCCATTTATCCGGGAAATTTATGTGATTTACTCAACAATTTTTTTTTTTTTCTGTAACATGACCAGGAATTGAAAAGCACTAAATAACACAACCAACCCCCAATCTTTTCTCTTTCATCAACCCACCTGACAAGACTCCTACGAAGCGAAGGGCCGAACGGCGAGAGAGAAGAGTATAGATGAGCGAGAGAGAAGGGGATCGAACAATCAGTCACACAGATACCACACTGTAATCGAGCTGTCTTTATCAACCGAACACTCGGTTGTGCTCTCTATTCAACTGATGCTAATCTGGCGCTTAACTCCTCAAATCAAACCCTAGCGCAACTCGTTCTTTGTTCCAGATTCTGCTAAGAAGAAAGGTCAGAGAGGAATCCAAGTACCCCTACTGGTCAGTATATCTATTCCATTTGTATGTGTGTGTGTGGGTATGATTTTATATGTTATGGGTTTTTGAATTTGATGGAATTGGTTTAGTTGAATGATTTTGACAAGGAGGTAGACTGGGAGAATTGTGGAAATTTATGGGTTTTATTTGAATTAGTGTTGGGATATATGAATTAGGTTTGGCGAGTAATGGGCTGGGTTTATACACCAAATATATTCATTATATACAATTAAAAAGAGAGATTTCGTGCATGGGTATTCGTGCGTGCTTGTGGTTGGGTATGTGTTGGACTGGGTAAACTTCTTTCTGTTATGTTGATGCGTTGTATTATGGTTTTTTTGTGCTTTCAAACAAATATGAGGGATGCTGCTTTCTAACAAAAATTGGAAGGGATTATAGTGCTTACTGTTTAGTGCTGTTGGAATAATGTTATAGTAATATGCTTTTGTGTGTACAAAAGTTGAATTCTCCAAGGGATTGTTTAAAATTCTTAACTAGCAAAATAGAATATAAGATGGATATATGCATTTCTATTGTTGGGTTGTTTGCGCTTCTTGTATTTTTTCTTTGTTTTATCAAGTTTTTGCTATATCACCGTATCTGTATCAAGTCATATCCCTCTTTATATCTATTGGTATGCTTGATGGTGAGGGATTAAAGTGGCTGAGGAAGAAACTGGTACATTTGGGATAGACAAAGTGTGGAAGGAAACATCTTAAAGCCTTGTTAACTTAAGGGGGTAAAAGAGAAGGGAAAATGAAGTTCGATGCTCTTATGTCACTAGTCTTTACATAAACAAACCCTTGATTCATGGCCGACAACAAAGTTTTATGTTTTGAGAGGAGATATTTTCTTTACTTTTAGTTTCGTGATGAATTTGCTGTGATCAAATTTTCTTTTGGATGCTGCACTGATGTCTCACTATTTTTAGGGACTGCATGTCGGTCCATGTTTGTTCTCCAGGATGTTGCTTTAAATCCCACCTATTTTCGTGGACTGCATGCTTGTTGAGAAATAAGTACCAAAGTAATTTGTACTCTTTTGGGATCATTTCAGCAGCATTGACGCATAAATATTTGGCCTAGTTACTCCAACCCATGCTCTTTGTATTAGTTGAAATTTCTAAACCTAGATCAATCACTGAAGTAGAGAGTTTGCCGGTTAATTTTTCACTCATTTTCATCAGTTGGGGGTTGAATCATGATTTTTCGATAAGACCATTATTATGTACGTGTGAAATGCCATAGACATGATGCCAAAGTTATTGTGGAATAGTTATACAATGTCAGTGACAATATCATTTTTTTTTTTTTATTAATAGAAGAAATACAACCGCACACAAAAAATTATTAAATAAATAGAAAAAAAAAGGAAATGGAGGAAAAACTATATTGTTAGATTAAGGTTTATAAATTTTAGAAAATCTTGAGCCGAACAAGAGTTGCCATTGGGAGGAAGAATGTATGATGACTTGATGTACCATGAAAAATGGAGATGAAATTGCTATTCTATCCAAGCACCAGGAAGTATGTGAGCAAAATTTTTGCGCGTGTTTGAGAGAGAGAGAGAGAGAGTTTTTGCCGTGCTTTGGTGATAATCTGATAGCTGAAACATTGGAGACCTATTGTTTATTGACAATTTTCACTGAGAGCAATTGAGATGGAAATGCCTTAAGTTGGTTAACTTATGTAGTGGGCCATCTATACTGATTTGTTGGGCCGCTGAAAGGCTCTTACAGATTGCTATTTAAATTGGTGTCCAAATGAGATTTTGTCGATGAAAATGTTTCTTAAGGGTTGCTTTTTTGCTTTTGACTTCATCTTTTTTTATTCGGCTTTATTTATTTATTTTTTTTGGGTTTTTTTTTGGTTGTTGTTTTGGGCTGGGGGGGGGGGGGGGCGGGGTTAGGACTTAGGAGTTACTGAAAGGTCTAGGTTTTAAGGCCTTGCTGACAGCACAACTCATCTGGCCATTATAATAATTCTTCCCCTTCCTCACGCCTAACCGTATTCTTGGTTTTCTATATCATATGGACTACATATATAGTAATTTGAAATGTATAGTTTTTTGAGCAAATAATATGGCATTTAAACACTTTATTGTCCTGGAGTTTGCAACGACTGAAATGCATTAGTGGGAATGTTTCATAAGTATGTTTATTCTTTTACACATTTTGTTGTCTCTCTGTTGACAATGGGTTGAAGATTGTTCTCTAACTTCTATTCTTTATCAATCAAAGACTTGAAGAGGATTATACCATGGTTTTGTCCTTGTATAAATGACATATGATAATGTTTGTTTGTCAAATCTTTTCAAAATGAGAAAAGCAGATGGTGTTATTACAAATGAAAGCGGTATAGTCATGTAGCCCGAAGCGGTGGAGGGAGGTGTTCCTAGTTAATGAACCCTGCCAAAGTTTCATTAAGCAGTAAATCCTAGGATCAACTTTCCCTATTCCTCCCTGGGGCTAGCCATTAGCCTGGCTTTATCCCTGGTGTAGCCCCGCCCAGCCCATGTCGATTGGTAATGGGTGTGGTTAGCTGAAGACCTGGATATCCTAGTAGCAAAAGAAAGAGTGTTATTCATATATAGACTTTTGAGTGTTATTCATATATAGACTTTTGTTCTTGAGTCTTTAATTATGCCAAATGCTTTAGCTTGCAGAATCACATTCTTAGGTTATACATCTATAATGACCACATCCTTCATTGGACATAGCCACCTTTGGATTCAACATGATTTTAGAATTCTCGATGAACATCATCATTGGAATTGCGAAATTCCACTTCGAATATAATTCCTTATTGACCTTGTTTTGTTACGAATTAACATGACATTTAAATGTTTTCGTGTAAAAGAATGCTCTTAATTTTCGAGAGATCAAATGTAAAATAACATGTTGAAGGCTGTAGGTCATAGTTATCAAAATCGTATGATTCATGATTCGATTCATAAGATTCGATTCGATTCGATATAGGTACAAAACGATTCGTATCTTGTATGAGAATTGTTTTAGAGTTGAATCGCACCTGAATTATACCATTCGTACGATTTGATTCGTATTTCACGAATTGCATGATTCAATCACCCTTTTTTTTAAAACCCAATTTTTTGGCAAAACGACGTCGTTTTGTCTGCTAAACAGTAAAACAATGTCGTTTTGTACGCTAAACAGTAAAACGACGTCGTTTTGTTTGCATAGGAACGCACTCCCTAATAAAAGCTCAATCTCTTTACTCGTTCTCTCTCTGACGTCGTCTAAAGCTTGCCTTGCGTTGTCTGAAGGTCACGGTTAATGCTCGTGCATCATCGATTGATTTTTACTCTCAATTCTTTCATGAGTAGTTTGTTAGGTTCTAATTTGTTTTTTCAAAATGTTGGCATGTATGTTTTCTCCCGATCAATTTTCTTATTTGTTCTTTTTCCATTCAAGTTTGTAATCTAATCTATTCTAATTGTTACTATTTTGGTTCTTGAATAGCCATGTTCTTTAATGAATTTTTTTTTTCAAGTTGTTGAATTTGAAAATGGTTAAACAAAAGATAGAAAAGAATTAAAAGACTAGCGTCTTTCCATTTAGACGATGTGATTATGTCAATTTATTATTTTTAGAATGCAATAATGTGCAATATTCAATATTCAATATTTTGTCTATTTTAAATATGTAGTATTATTTTTTATTTTTGTTCAAATTTTGTGTCGAATCTTACGATTCACAATTATCAAATTTAAGATTCCGATTCACAATGCGAATCGCGATTTGACAACTATGCCGTAGGTTTTTGGTCATGAGTCTTTGTGGGCTTCTCTCTGAATTTATGCATCTAAGATCCTTGATTGAATATATCTATGCTTTTGGGAGAGAAATATTAGTGCAATTTAATGACAGACCACCATGGTGAGAGTCAGGACCTAGGTTACTGTCAAAAAATGGCTGAAAGCCTGAAACTATTTGATTTTCTCAAATGGTTCTCCAAACTGTAGAACATTTAGTCTAAGACTTGACATTCCACACTAGTGTTAGTATCTCTGATAGATTGTTCGTACCTGCATACAACAACCCCCCACCCCCCTCCTTTTTCTCTTTCCTTTTCCCTAACAAGGCAACAACCCCAAACACATGTACACACATATAATTAGTCTACATTGTATCCTTTATTTTTTGAAGTGCCTTTTGTGAATTGCCATTTTTCTTGTAGTAAAGAACCTATTAGTTGTGTCCAATTCTCATTAGGTGAGGTAAATTATCGCAGTGGGTGTGAAAGGTTATAATGAAAACTAGGGTATAATACTCAGTTACAGAACACTTGACAAGATGCAATTGTTGTGCTTATTGAATCATTTTGAGATGCTTTTGGTTTTGTTTGTGATGCCATGATTGCCATCAGTTTTTGTTATTGTTGTATTGAGTTTGAACTCTCATAGCATGTGTTTGACTTTGTATGGTAATTCTGGACAGGATGTTATTTGGATGTTGTGTGGTATATATTGTGTTAACTAGAGAAATATTTTATGTGATTCCTAGATACATTTTTTTGGAAAGAGGTACATATGGCTGGGTTGATGCCTGGTGATACTTCAATCCATGGATTGTACGAAGGTGGGTCTTACAAACTTTCTGAAGACAAGCCAGAGGAAGTTGGTGGCCGTTGGTATTTGTCTAGGAAGGAAATTGAAGAAAATTCCCCATCTAGACGAGATGCCATCGATTTGAAGAAAGAGACTTATCTACGCAAGTCATACTGTACATTCCTGCAAGATTTGGGCATGAAGCTTAAAGTGTAGGTTTTTATACTTTTGATTTTGAATCATGTGAAATCCCGTTGCTGTTGTCATTTTCCGTATTGCTACATGTAATAACTGCCATTATGTCACATTTACTTAAATTGCTAATGTTCATGTGGTTGGAAGAACACAAAAAGGTGGAATACTATTCATGTTATAATTCCATTACAACTATTTGGTGAAAAATTAGCCATCATGACAACTAAACCAGATTAATAAAAAGTGTAATGTAACAGTTAGATAAGGATGATTAGTATTGTTTAAACACTACAGCTAAATTTTTTGAATGTTATATTATACTGTCGGGAAATGATAGCATATTTGACAAAAAAGTATATCTCAATTAGTAGTAAAAAATCTAGTTTTGCTTTTCGATGCAAAACTACACTACTTTTGCAGTTCAATAAATAAACTACACGAGAGACAAAGAAACTCCACAAAATCCAGGAAACAGCATGGATATACATGCTTTCTTTAGTTTATAAAATAAACATATGTGCTTGTGTCCTTATTAAAGAACAGTGGGTGGTTGTTAAATGTCTGACTGCAGCATAATACTAAGAAGTGCCCTTTCATAACAAAAAATACGAACTAATGATGTGAGAAATTTAGGGAAAATCCAGCAATAGAAATATAACGCATATTCACTTGATTATTATTGTTGGCAAGTCAAACAGAGCTCACTGTGATAGTTGTGCGATATTGGACAATTTTATGGAAAATCCATAAAAGAGTTGGCTCTTGCATAGTAGATGGTTTTCAAACCGCTTGCAATTTAAAGAAAGCGTCTCTTTAAGTATACTAACTGCTATTTAAATAACCTAATGAGTTTATAGGAAAGGTCATCAGGAGGAATCTTAAAATCATTACCTCTGTCTTGGTTATGCTTAGTAGCCTTGGATATGCTTGTGCTTTTGAAATGTATGTGTTTAAACATAATAGATGGTAACATATTAGATTTATATTGTTAAAGTAAGAAGGGTCATTACCTAATTTGGTGGTAAAATGCTCGATCTAACTGTCAAATTGTGGGTTCGAATATAAGAGTAGTCACTTTGTACAAAGAACACCAAATGTTAGGCTTGTGCCCAGACAATCCCTCCAAGTCATAGTTTTAGAACTCAGCTATTATGGGATGTAACGACTCTTGTGCAATGGTATCAGTGGCCTTTGATACTGTTTTATATAGTGAACACTTTCGATATGTCGGGTCAATTATCCATATATAGGGTGAGATTCCAGATGATGTTACTCATAGAATTAAAGTAGAATGAACTAAGTAGAGGAATACATATGGTGTATTGTGTGATTAATGCAAGCTTCTTAAGCTGAAAGGCAAGTTATAAAGACGGCCATAAGGCCAGCCATATATATGGTACCAGATGTTAGGAAGTTTAAGATATAACACACTCAAAAATCAAATGTGATAGAAATGAGGCTATTAAAACAGATTTGTAGTAAAACCAAAGAGGATAGAATTAGATCTAGTATAGAAAAAATAGAAATGCTACCAATAGTAGATAAACTAAATGAAAAATGATTTGTGTGGTTTGGACGTGTTTAGCGAAAGTCGATTAAGGAAGATTACAATTTATTCAAGAAGAGTGATGTGATAACTGTTGACCGTAATGCGAGTGGTAGAGGGAAGTCAAAATTAATTGTGATTGGAATTAGTTGGGACAAGGTTTTGTTTAGTCGGGTTGAGTTGCATTTGAATAATAGCCTATCACTAATCATTTGGGTAGATATCAATACCTCCCCTTATTTCTTTGATCACCCCTGGTCGTTTGAAGTATCTCTGACCTCCCTTGGGCTTGAAGGCTTTTATGCTAGCCTTTTGGGTGTGAAAATTTTGACTGATCAAGTCCATTTACACTTCCACTACCTCTGTTTGAGGATATATCGAAGTGAACCTTGAAATTTAAGGTGGACACATTGACAATGGAGGCCTGTGGTATTTTAAAACTACTACAGATGTGAAATATTATTGTGCCAATCCTTATGGGAGGTTTCCGATGCCTACACTTCTTATTCGGTGGTCAGATAGATTCATGTCTATGGATCTGAAGGTGTCATGTGGTTCATTATTAGTTGCATGGCGTCCTAAGTTAAAGGTATATACATCTGTCAGTTAATACCATGTTGTATTGTGGTTGAAGAATAATGATTTATATTTGACTAACGATTCAAAGGTGCATATTTTCAAATGCAGGCCCCAGGTGACCATTGCTACGGCAATAATTTTTTGTCATCGTTTCTTCCTTCGACAATCCCATGCAAAGAATGATAGGCGGGTAAGTTTTTCCTTGTTTCTCATGAGTAGTTATTCATTTTGTGGCCAAGTGGGAATCCTAATTGACCTGGATTGTTTGTAGTTCTGACAAGGATGATTACTATGTAGTCTGTTCCTAAGAATACTGACATCTAGTCAACTTAATGAATGGGATAGTATTGGTCAGAAACTGAGTAAAATGTTCGTGGAGAATGCTGATCATCCATATATACCACACTTGAAGGACCTAAAACCATCCATGCTTACTTTTAGGAGTACTGTTCATGGCACTTAAAAGTCCCAATGAGGTTTGTATGAGGGACGAAGGTACTCTTGTTCCACTTGTGACTTGCCTGATCAGAGGCTGAAGTTCAATTTGTGAGATGTGCAAGCCAAGCTTGAACTTTTTTGTACCTCATTGAATAATTTAGTTCGACTTGAGCTTGGATCAATAAGCTGGTAAGCATCCCATGCCATATAAGAAGCCACACCTAAGTTGGCTTGTGGTTGCTCAGTTGTAAGCTTACTTGAGATTGACTCATGAGATAACAGTCAAACTTGAGCTTTATTTGGAACTCATTAAAAATTTTCAGGCAAAGGTTAGACAATCTACTAGTAAGATCAACTTGGATCATTTACGGCCCTAAGCCCAACAAACTTTCATTTCTCTTTAGTGAAAGGTTCTATTCTGCAACATATTATAACCAAATGGAGATGTAGACGATTTACCATTTTGTGGGTTTTTTGGTTAACCTAAAAAATACAACACTCAGTTGAAAAACAAATGTCACATCTTCGTATCACCTTTTTTACTTGTCGAGCACGGCAGAAGCTAATGTTATCAAAAGCATGCACTAGGCAAGGTCTGATGAGGCCAGCTTGCCTCAAGTGGTCCAAGGGGAGGCGAATTGTTTGAAGCAAAGATTAAGCCAAAAAAAAAAAAAAGAGCACCTAATGGGGCTATTCTCACTCTACAAATCTCCGTTCCTACCCTGTTAAACTCTAAATCATAAAATTACTAAGTCCACCCCTTTTATTTTACCCCACTAATAACTAAGTTCACTCCAATATCCCATCTCACACAATCTATACAAAAATATACTCATCTTGATTATCTAATATAGATCTCTCAAGTGATATTCAAGTTGGTATTGGTTCCAAGTTTATTTCATTTTGTTGAACGTGTATTTTATCAATATCAATGATTTTCATTTGAGGTCTGTATATAATATATATAAGGTTATAATATTACACACACGCACACATACAATATACAAACTTAACCTTTTTTTTTTGAAGAGAAATTTACATGG